GGAGCCTGGCTTTGTGCATGGGTTTAAGCAGAGAGAGTGGTCCAACCAGTTCTCAGACAAGGCTACTTATTATCCAAAAGCTGCTGGCTTTTGACAGAAAAGCAGCTGGCTTTTCTGTCTGTCCTGTGTCACCCAGGAGGTGAGAGCAAGCAGGGAAAAGGCAAGAATGGGATATACTTGAGGCTGCCTAGCCTGGGGGACGTACCTCTCCACAAAAGATGCAGGAGTCCTGGATTAGGGCACTCTGCAGCCCTGGCTAGCAAAGCAGGTGCTGTCACAGCCTCCACCCGGGGCCCACATTTGAGATTTCAAATGTGAAAGAAACCACCTAAAGCGTGGCGCATCGTTATCAGCTGGGTGTCAGCCTGCGGGGCCTTTGGGGCAGCAGGCTCAGGTTCTTTAGGGATGATGCAACTTAGAATAACTGATGACTTCGGAAACCAGAAGAGCACACAAACAGCATCCTTGATCTTGGTCGATCTTGGCCAGGGGTAAGAAGAAGGACTCCATAATGAGCTAGTTACATTTACAGGCAGGGCCGGTGAGAAGAAGAGTGAGGTAGAAAAGAGAGTGGGAGACAGCTGGAGAGGAAACCCTGGGCTTCTGGTTTGTTTCAAAATGTTTGACCCAGATGGATATGGCTTTTCAAACCAGAGGACAGACACAGCTATTGATAAAAACAAACAAAACAACACAGGGACAATAGTGAAAGGGGAGGTAAGGGACAGAGGCTGACCAGGCAGAGGAGGGAAGGGCCACAAGCCGGTGATGCCAGATGGGCCAGAGAGAAGAAATGTACTGAAATCCATGGAGGAGTGTGAGGCTTTCCAACGAAATGTAAGGACATAGTTGTCCATGGTAAATTACAGAACCCCAATTAAGGTGATTTTCCAACAGCCCACCAACAGGTTTCTTTGGAAGATTAGTAATTTTCTGTATGAATTCACTATTTTGCAAAACAACCAGGGACCCGAGATTTGACAGGGAAGTTAGGCTGTTACTTCCATGCACTTGCCTTTTAAATTGGGCTTTGCTGGAGCTGTATGTTTTGAAGGTGGCTGTGCTCACAATTATCTTAATTCCCCAGGGTATAGTATATATCTCCAATGGTCCACTTATCTTTTAAAACTGGGCTTCCAATAAATTTCATGATACATGGGCCCTCTTTTTTTTTTTTCTTTGATAGTTGGTGGGGACAGTGAAGTTTGTCTCCCTTCTGCACAGAAGGGAACCCCATATCATTAGAAGTGTGATATGTCAGCTGGTCCGATTCCACGGGAGAATAAAAATGTGTTCATCAAAGGTGTTATGCCAGGCTGATTTTATTCATCTGTAATTCACACTGAGAGAAAACAGCCGTGAGCATATTTTAACAACCCCTAATATTTTTAAAGGGTATTTTTTCCCTACCTGGAGATTTTGTACATATGCATATTTCTGTTTTGGAGGTCAGGGTGGGGGAGAAGTTGCTGTCTGCCGATGTGTTGGCCTTGGTGAGTTTTGTCTAGCCTTCAACATATTTGGTAAGCGATAAGTCATTTCTCCAGTCCTAGGGTGAATGCAGTTGCTTCTGGGAAGCCAGCCTTAGGTACATGGAGGGAGGCTGGGTTGAGATGCTCTCTTATCACTGAAGGACTCAGTTGGTCTTCCCTGACCAGAGGAAGGCCACTTTTGGGTGCATTTGACAATAATTAGAATGACTCTCAGGTAAAGTGGAAGCTCATACAAAAGTCTGATCGATTACAGATCCCAGTTCCTATACCTTATCAGAATTTGACTCCTGGCACTGACATAGCTTAGAACACGGCTTTGTACCCGCCTTCCCTTATCTTTTTTGCATCTCCTATCTCGATTGCTTTGCATTCTCTGTTGCATGTTGTGATAAAATACTTTCCAAAATAAACTTTCAGGGGAATTGACTTTTGGTTCATGGCAAACCTGAACCGTGGAGTCCGCTCCTGGAGCCACTCGGCGCTAGGGGGCGCTCGGTGCCCGTGTCATGGCTGCTGAGCCTCTGCTACAATGGCTGGGAGCCGCGTCCATCAGCAGCCCGGGCAGTTTACGTTGCAGCAAAATGTCTTAAGTGTGAAGTTGTAATATTGATTTTCCTGCAGAGATTCGTGCAGGACAAAATGAGAATATAAGTTTGAGAAATCTATTTTCAAGCCATCGTCATTGATTTACAATCCCTCACTTTGGCAGATGAGGGCATTTTCTTTTTCTTTTTCTTCTCTTTCTCTTTTTCTTAGGCAATTAAAAAAAAATTGTTAGTTTTGACTGAGTGTGTTTCCTTGATTTGCCTGTAGTCTCAATGTTCTGAAAATTCGGTTCCGATGAAGGCATTTGTGATCCAGCCAGGAAGAGTGGACATGGTTTTGGTAAGACATGCCATCCCTTTCTGTGCATGTCACAGACGCAGGGATCACCGAGAATTGCTGCTTGTAGAAGCCGTGGACCTAAAAAGCTTGATGAATGGAAATCCTTTTAGGTCAGATTTTATAGTGTTTATATTCTCAATTGTATCTATTAGGGAAATGGCATTATCCCCTAAAGATATAAAATGCCAACTTAAATAACATGTAAAACTTTGTTTGGAAGGAGTGTGTGTTCACCAGAACC